ATCACATGCTTAGCCATCTGGATTTACTCATTGTACACTTTGGATTACAACTTCACCCTAGCCTTTTTTTAACCCTTCATCTAGACAGCTGTTGCCAGAGTCTCTTCTTGAGTATGGTCTCTCAGAACGAGTCTAGAACAAAGATGAGTGTCTGCTGCCTTACTCAGGCTCACATGGCATTGAAATGACATTGCACCATCACAGAGTTGAAGTGTACCTCTCCATACATACTCCCACCCTCTCTCCTTGCCCTTGTCTCACTGTGGTTTGTTCTAAGCAGACTCCTATCTTCGTTGCCTCTAGTCAGGAAGCAAGTACCTGTCTCTGGTTAAATATACCTTCCCTGCTCGGCCACTCAGGTTAAAGGATACACCGTTATGTTTCTAAGAACTCACACAGCATGTACCCTCTATGGCTAAGCATGGACTATGGCTGTCAGTGAATAGCCACCATGGGAAGGTAGTGCTCATCTTGACTCTGTAATTTTTATTACTTCCATTGTTGGCTTGCTTGTAAATTTCTTCCTTCCCCCAAATTGAGGGAGGAATGAGCCTTCTCCCCAGAAGGAAGAGAGCAGGTCAGACAGTGCTTCTAGACTTTCCATTGCTTATTCTTCTCCTTAGTTTCTAGTCTCCATCAAACCTGCACAGAAGGATGCCCTGGCCCTGTTCTGTCATCTTGTAAGTGCTGAGATTGTGTTTGGTGTCTAACATGTGGGTACTCTCCCCATAGGGTCTCTATCTTAGAACATTATCAGGAATTTAGGGCAGCCATCACCATCCTTCTCACTTTACTGCCATCAGGGGTCAGGACATTCATCAGCAAGGCCAGGAGCTTCATGATTAGCTAGCAAGAAATTATTCTGATTCTATGTAAGTGCTGGGTTTTAGTTTCTTTTGGTTTTTTTTGTACCAGGTTTCTCTGTGTAGCAGTGGCTGTCCTAGAACTTGCTTTGTAGACCAGGCTGGCCTCGAACTCACAGAGATCCTCCTACTTCTGCTTCCCAAGTGCTGGGATGAGTTTTAGTTTCTTATTTGGTAGATGCACAGTGGGAGGACAAAGAGGATAACCACCAAGACAGAAGGCTTGGGTAGGCCCAACAGTGTTCATACATGTTTATTTGAATCCAGAGCATGAAACCTGGCAGAACTCTGTACACCTAGGATTTGTGAGTTTCAGGCTTTCCATAAGTAGAATGTAATAGTATGCCATTCAGCAGTGGACATAATTGCTTATACGCCTTCAAAGTCCTCTGTTCCCATTGTCTTTAGGCTTTAAGGAAATTTGTTTTATTACAGATAGGTTATAAACAAAGTAAAATTTTACTAAGTAACTTAATAAAGGTACGTTGCATAAAATGCAATGAAACATCACTAAAATACCTTATTAGAAGCACTGAAAGCAAATTATTAGCTAAAATGCAATGTATGGAAGCCAGTCACCTCAGAGCTAATAGACCACTGCAACATTTTTCTCCAGTTCCTTCCCATCACTCTAACTGCCCATCAAATGTATTGCCTTTGTTCCATACTTTGCAGTGCACTTGGAGTTAGTAGTGAGAATATCGTGTAGAATATTCAACTAACATTCCTGTCATTAAAATAATGGTAACATTTATAGAAGGTATTCTGTGAATCAGGTGCTATTATAGGCTATAAGGGTGCAGCCCTGAATGGATAAGACAAGATCCTAGATATAATGGAGCTTTTTAGAGGGGGCTGGGTTTTGATGTTGTTCTGTGAGCTGTGTTTGTCACATTTGTGTCACTGAGATGAACAACTTGAGAAGCAAGCTGGCTTCAGAGCCTCCTGGTGGCCTGTCCCTGTCCTTTGAGCCTGCAGTAGCCAGTACAATATGACAGAGCAGGTGGCAGAGGAGGCTTTTTATTTTAATCTGAAACAGAAAAGGGGGGAACAGGAAGGGTCTGAGGACCAAGTGATGTCTGTAGCATTATATCCCCAGAAATGTAATTTCCTGTCAGTATGTTCCACCTCCTCAAGGCAGCATTAGCTGAGACTAAGCCTTTCGCATGTGGACCTCAGGAGAACTCCAGATTCTAGCTGCAAACTTGAACAGTGAAGTGCAGTAGAGCCCCTACTCCCCCTCAGAGTGACCCCTGCAGCAGCTCATGTCCCATGTCAGTTCATAGATCTTGTATTTTCTTTAAAGTTTTCTGTAAGTCTGTAAGGACAATAGTGGGTTTTTCTTGTGTGTGTGTGTGGGGTGGTGGTGGTGGTGGTGTTTAAAAGCACAATGATACTTGCTTCGATGGTTTGTTGGTCCGCAGCTGGTGAGCAGCCAGCAGGAGGCATCCCCAAATGTGGGGAAGGACTAAAGTGTTAACTTCATTTTAAAGTCAGTCATTACGTTTGGCACACGGAGAATAAAGTGAGCAAGAAATGGCTTTAACATCCCCTTGCCCTGTCACAGTATGGAAAGAGAAGATGGTAAAGCAGAAATGAAAACCCAAACAGGCTTTTGGCACTTATGGTATGAGGTATTAGATTCAGTCTCCTGGGTCTGTCAGTCCTCGGAATCTGCCAATCATAGATTAGCTTAGTAGGAGAGGTAGACGTTGGAATTTTAAGACATCTTATTTCCTTCTGGAATTCTGTAAATGTGCTCAGTTCATGCTTAGGATGACCTTCATCACATTCCTTCCTCAGAAGACCTCTGCCTGCAGCAGGGCAGGGAGGCATGTGAATAGAGTCCAAGAGAATGTGACAAGTGCCCTGGCAGACATAAAAGCTTAGAGAGTTACGGGTAAGCATGGGTTTGTGCAGGCCCTCATAGAATGGTGTGTATATTTGCTAAGTTGTGTATGGTCTGCTGGCTGATTGGTTAAGGCAACTGAGGGTTGTTAAGGTCTTCCCCCCACCCTTGACCGGTGTGGGGGGGAATTAATCATTCTAGATCAGGGAGAAAAGATATAAGAAATACTATGATATCATGAATTTGGGGAAACCAGGAGTAGTTTAATGAGGCAGGGAAGGAAACAGAGAGGGCTGTTTACAGAGGGCCCTGTAGTCTGTGTGAAGGGGCAGGGCAGCCCTCCTTACATCAGAACACAGTCTCTGGAGTTCTTGAAATCGTAATTTCCTCATGTGCTGCTGCTATAGCATTGAGCCCAAGATTGGGTTCAGTGTCTAGCTCCATCTGGTCTTTGGAACACCCAGAACCCTAAATCAACAATTTCACAAAAGTTGTTGCTACTGCCTAAGAGGATGGTATAGCAGAAAAATCAGACCTTCCCCACAATCTGAAACTGGTCAAGGAGGTGGCTGGTGACATCTCATTGTGATGTATCGCTGTTGTCTCAGCCAATGCCCATGCAGCCTTACTTAAGTTTGGATCACAGAGGCGAGCAGGAGTGACCGGGTTGGAGGGCTCTGGGTCAGGACTAGCCCTTAGTACTTTCTCAACTTCTGTGCATTCCATGTGTAAGAAGTCCATGCTTCTGTAAGTGCTGAGAACGCTCACTTGTTGCCCAAGGTGAGGGGAAGGGTCTGAAAATGATTTGGAAGGAGGAGCTCTGATGGGAAAACCTCATTTCTTTGAAAAATGCTAAATCTGTCTTAAGCATAAAATACAGCACGAGGGAAGTACACCCGTGCAGGAAGGGAGCCAGCATTCCCTGTGGCTCTGACCACAACCCATTTGTATCTCCTTTTACTTTTCTCTGTGTATGAAATTTTCCTGGAATTGTCGATAATGGAATTCTAGGAAGATGCCTAAAATACGTTGCTGTAGTTCATACTTGTCATTTGTAATACTTGATGTAGCTGAATCTTTTTATTCCTCCTTATGCCTCCCAGTACAACACAGAACGCCATATGCCACTGCCTCTGTCAAGAAGCAAAGGTTTCCCAGGTCTGAGGTTGTTGCCTCTGTTCACACCACAGAAGATCTGGGGTCCAGTGCCATCTTTTATTGATAGGACCAGCAAAGGAGAAATCTAATGAAATTATCAAGGCTTTGAATTAATTATGAAGTGGCATAAGAGAGCCAAGCTCTCTGGAGCCAGCGCTCTCATTACCCATTCACTCTCATTGCATCCTCTTCTGGAGCAGAAGGCACTTTCAGAGACAGCCCAGCCGTGCTTTGGATTTCAGGCAAACTCCCTAAATCAATGCCCTCTCTTTCTGCACTGCAGCCGGGAATGTCCCTAACAATTAACTGGCTCTGGACCTGCTGGACATTTGAATAGGTTTTCTCTTTGTGCTTTTGCCTAATTTTAGTCCTCTCTCTCTCTCTCTCTCTCTCTCTCTCTCTCTCTCTCTCTCTCTCTCTTCTCTCTCTCTCCTTCTCTCTCTCTCTCTCTCCTTCCCTCCCTCCCCTCTCTTTCTCCCTCTCCCCCCACCTCATTTTCTTTCATCAAATCAGATGTTGTACACATTTCCCCCATTTTGAGTAATGTGAGAAGCCACCAGGACTATGGCCTGTAGCTTCATGGAGCACAGGGACTGACTTAGTTGAGAGGTGGATAGCCTCTGCTGTGTGCTCAAGGACGTTTTGGTAAGCAGAACCAATTGTTTCTTCTTTAGTTTTTGGTACCAATTGCTTGTTTCTAACCAAGAAATGGTCTCAGCTGTCCTGATGTTGGTGCTGAAGTGTGGTTCATTGGTAGCAACAGTTAATACTGGCCTGACCGTTCTCCCCTCTTAGAGGTGCAAACTGTTATGTATCAGTCAGCCTCTGGGTTTCCTAGTTCTAGCAGTCAAACCAATAACAGCCCAGCTTTGATTCCCTGTGGAGGATGGTTCTTTTGGACTGGTGTATGGTTTTGAAGCATCTTTTAGCAAGCCTTTTCCTGACTGCTTCTGAGACCCATTATTGATGAACTCCTGAACGATAGGCCATTGGCATCTTGGAAAGCAGTGACTAACTTTACTCTGTAGGGTCAGCGTCTGAGGTTTTGCAGTGGAGAAAGGGAGAATAGTAATCTTTGTTTGTCCTGTGCTGTTTACTGTCAGTGACTTTCCCATTTATTCTCTTCATAGGCAGCTGCGATATTTAATTCAGCATTTGGGAGTTTTCTGGTGAGTACACATTGTTTAACTTTGTCTATTTTAATTTTTCTTAAGGTACTGTTTTGCACAAATGACTCAGTAAGAGCTGAACTTCTACTCTTGTGAAAAATAAAAGTTTTGGGATTCTTGCACATATCCTTAATTATACCCTGAGGAAAATTAGTAAGTAAAAAACAGTTGAATATTCTTTTGCAATATATTTTGGAGGCTCAGGTTTAATAGTCTGTTAATGGATTCAAGGAATCAATTAAAATGCCATGTGCATCCTTATAGAGGCTATGTCAATATATTGATCACTTAATGAGGTCTTTTAGATGATTATTATTTTGTGTCCTGGGACACAGGATTTTGAAAAGGCATCACGACCCAGCTGGTCAGAAAGGGAATGCTAATTTATGGTTGACACATCATTTATTTTCTGCATTTCCCTGTCAAAGAAGCTACCTACGATCTTGAATCTGTCTGAAAAATCATTGTAGAATAATAACAAAACAAAAACTGATGTAAGAATATAATTCATGAGCAAATTGCAAGAAAATATATAGTGTTTTAGAGATCTAAATATGAATTATAAAATGAGCAAACACAGTTCCACCTTTGCAAGCAAACCTCGAATTATGAGGTTGTAGTTTTAACATTTAGATAATTATTTACTTAATTTGTGTTTTGCAAGACTAGAGATAGAAACAGTTTCCTTTATTTAATAATGCTGCTTGTATCTTCAAATTTTCTAGGAAAATAAATTAGAATATCTGTTTTAGTTGCAGAATTCATTTACAGACCTGTAATGTAGTGACTTACAAATGACTGGGAATAAAATCAGTGGAATATAAACTGGCTTATGAATTTAGGTGAAATACCCATTATGTGTGCTTAATATATTCTGTAGGTCACTTGTTTCTGTATTGTATGCATTAAACGATAGTTCAAGCTTTAAAACACTTTGCTAGCTCAGTGTTAATTTCCAAAATGTTACATAGCTTTTGAAGTCGTTGTCTTCTGGATGATGTTGATTCTATGAAACACATTGTTGAAGTATGTTCCATTTTTACAGATGTCATGTGTGAGGTTTTTTATTTTTATTGTTGTTGTTTGTATTTTGATGCCATATTTCACTGGGCTTAGAAGCAAAGTGATAGAGTATATTTAGAAAAAATCTCTGTTCAAGCATGGTAACTAAGTACTGGAGAAATTGAGGTAGTAGGATTGCCACAAATTTAAAGCCACCTTCAGCTACATAATGAGACCCTAATTCAAATAAACACTCTCTCTCTCTCTCTCTTTCTCTCTCTCTCTCTCTCTCTCTCACACACACACACACACAGAGAGAGAGATACAGAGAGAAAAAGATACAGAGACAGAGAACGAACACACACAGAGACTGATTTTTAAGACTACTTAGTTTAGACTTAGTAATATCTCATTAAGTCACTATTTCATTTATTCAGCTATTATTCTCTACATTATTACAGTTGTTTTACAGAATAATATGTGTAAAATACAAAATTTCCAGAAGCCAGTTTTGGTGTGGTTTGAAGTCATACACATCTACTATGAAACATGGCTTCCTAACTTGGGTTGCTCACACATGAGAAAGCCCCTGATAACTAAGAACATGCAGTAATTGTGTAAGTGGCTAAAGCAAAACCCACTGCCCACTCATTGGAGAGAATGCTTGCTACATGTAGTTTGAGCTTTACATTGGCCACTGGTGTTCCTTGGGTAAATTTTTTTTTTTTTTTTTCCCTGCTCAGATGTGTGCTCAGGTCCTGAAAAGAAGAGCTCACACAAAGCTTTTCTGCATTTTTCTTCAGCTCCCTCCCATCTACATTGTATGTTCTTACCCCTTAGTCTTTTGACCTTACTTTCTTCACTTTTTTCATTTGTTTGTTTGTTTTTTAAAACTTTAATGCAGCTAATGGATCAAAAGTGTTTATGGAAATCTGGCCACACACAGGTAATTTTCAAGTAGCTCTTGAAAAGTACAAAGAAATGTTAGGTCTCTTCATTAACTTAAGGACAGTACACATTAGAAAAGAAAGCATTGCTGTTGGGCGTGGTGGTGCATATCTTTAATCCCCCAACACTCAGGAGGCAGAGGCAGGCAGATCTCTGAGTTCAAGGCTAGCCTGGTCTACAGAATGTGTTCCAGGATAGCCATGGCTACACAGAAAAACCCTGTTTTGAAACAAAACCAAAGGGGGGGAGGGGGGAGGTAGGGAGGGAGAGAGAGAGAGAGAGAGAGAGAGAGAGAGAGAGAGAGAGAGAGAGAGAGAGAGAGAGAGAGAGAGAGAGAGAGCACAGTGTGAAAATTAAGAACCTAAAGAAAGATGTTACTGTAGCTACATGGTGGTCTTCTGAGTGGCATAGGCAACATTCACTTAACTAAAAGGTCTGAGCAAGGGCATCTCTTCTGCTGGCCTGAGCAGCAAAGGATGAAGTGGCAGAAGTGTCTTTTCTCATCCTTCCCTTTCTCTCTTTCCCTTTTCTTTGCCACAGTTGACGATCACCAGCAGGGATTGAGAATAAAAGCTGTGCCCATGCACTATGCATGTTTTGCCCCAGTGTAATAACAGATAACCCCCACCCCCATTCTTTATCATATAGAAAGCTTTGGTTGATGAAGTGCATGTAGGTCTCATCCAAATATGAGGTGATGACTTGCTCTCTCGGGGACAGAACTCATGTCTTTCTGCTCTACCATCCATAGCATGATCCTTCCCCAAGGTTAGCACATGAGCAAAGATAGCTGCTGCAGTTCTCTCCCATGTGTCTTACACACACACGCATGCACGCACACACACACGCACACATGTGTGTGTGTGCGCTACTGGATTCCCATACCATCCTTCCACTAATAACCGTGTTGCAGAAATTAGCCACACAGTCACACCTCATCGAAGAAATGTGGCAGTTAGCCATGGTTTCTGTCACTGAAGAGAATGTTTAAGATAAGAGCCATTCCTTTCTGCCTATAAGGAATGTATAAAAGTATGCACAACTTTGAAGAAAGAATTTATTTTAGTAGACTGATATGAAAAGTTGGTCCTTGAGTTAGTATTACAAAGATTCACTCTACAGAGGGGAAATTCTGAATTACAAGTTATTCTGAATTACAAATTATAAGGAATGGTATTTAGGGATTTTCTTTATAAAGAAATTTTGTGTTAATAGGTAGTAGCCACCCTATTGGAAGCAGGGTGGGTTTGAATTCTCTCTTGACTGAATATTAAATGAACCAGATACCTTCCCTGTAAAGTACATAATGTGGATTAATCATATCATGTATCTATAGAACCATATTGATAATGCAAAGAAAATGCTTGTATGAGGGGGTAGAAACCGATTTGAGCTAAAATTTACATTTAGGTGTTGGTCCAGATATTAGACTGACTATTAAAAACCACCAAATGAAAAAATCATCTCTGTCGGGAGCTATAAGCTCTAAGATACATTGAGTCAATGGCTGTTCTCTTCTTATGAGTAAACCATCCTTGCCTTTGTGTATGCGTGTGCATGTGTGTTCATGCATGTGTGTGCGCTTATGTGCATTTGCATGTATTCATATGTGTGTGCATGTGCATGTAGTGACCATTCCATGTATGTATGTGTTCATGTGCATTTGTGTATACATTAAAATAAATAATCACTTATAACTAGAGAATATGTATGTTAGAATCTGCATATATTCTATATTATGTACTATGTCAGAGAATATGTATTATAATAGTCTATATAAACATTCTAGTATATTGGCATCTGATATGTATTAATATTTCAGGTTAATCCCAATTACCTGAAACCTTTGAAAGACTCTTATTAGAAGAAATTTTGGAGAAAGACTTAAGGGTATTTTTGTTGATTTTTCAGACATCTGGGTATAACAAGTAAAATATGGTACATATTTATAGCTAGTTTAATAATGTCCCAGGTCTAATTAAAATGCAATGATTTTAAGAACTAATTGTTATATAAAACTTTTTAATGGAGCTATACTAGTAATAACTAATGATAGATGAATTCAATTTACATAAATTTCAGACCAGGAGAGCATTCGAAATTGTGCCATAGAGGATTGCTTTAAGTTAAGAAGTTAATACCCACTCCTCCTCTGCTCGCTTAGTTGTTTAGCTTATTGTTATTGTGGATTGTAGTGACGTGGGATTGCCTTCTTGATGAGGTTTGCACAGAATTTGGTAGCTCCGCGTGCTCTGGATAACTAAGAAGATGTGTAAATGCATATGTTCATGTGTCCTGTGTGATGTTTATGCCTATGCATTCCATGTAAAACTGGCACACATCAAGAACAGTATTTTGCATGTTACATTCTCTTCAAGAGTTGTTTGTTTTAGATTTTGAAAACTTTTTGGAAGATTTATTTAGTGTGTTTTATGTGTATGAGTTGGCTGTGTGTATGTAAGTGTGCCGCGTGTGTGCCCAGTGCCTATGGAGAGAGACCGGAAGAGGGGCCTTAATGAAGGCATGCAATGTTTCCTCCCTTCCTCCCTCTCTCCCCCTCACTCGTCCCCCACCCTCTCTCTGCACAGGGTCTGACTCAAACTTATGATCTTGCCTAAGTCTCCCAAGTGCTGCAGCCCAGGCACTTCATTTTTTTTTTTTTTTTTTTTTTTTTTTTAATTTCTTTTAGCTAAGTCTAGGGTGTATTTAGTTCATGGATATGAAGGAGTATGCTCAGTATTAACAATGATGTTGATTTTAACCAATCCAAATACTTGGAATCTTGGTTTACCCTTCATAATTTAGGACTTGTTTGATTTTCATTAGATTTCAATGCCAGAACAAACAGGCATCTTCATTTTCAGGGGGTATTCAGGGCTGTCCTGTACAATACTATTTCTAACTTATCTTTGTGGCAAGAACCTGACAAGCTCAGGTCTTTGCAACTTGTCTTACAGACTTTCTCTTTACAGAGTGGAGCTTAGCACCTTTTGGAACAAACTAGCATCATGAAAGATGGATTGCTGACAATAAATACTGTCAATTTGAGG